GATGAGGAGCATTTGGGGAAATTTGTTTTTTTCGAGTTCACATGCGAGTTTCTTCATTAAGGAGCTTCCCAGTTGTGCAAATTTACGGTGTTTCGACCAAAACAACCCTTACCCTTAATCTAATTTCCGTAAATTTCCCCATATCACTCCATTTCCTCCAATTGCCAGCAAAGCGCGATTAAAAACTGAAACTTTAAGTTTCAACTAAAGTCTAAATTATAAAGCCTTCAGGTCTGGTGAACGTTGAAAATGTCTTTGAGTTGAACACAACTCTAATTGTTCTAATATAATACATCGGAACTAAATGAACAATGCGGAAAGTGAACAGTCAAAACCAAACAAAGCTCGAGGCAAATTTGAATCTTCGCCGCCAACCAATATCAGTTCTCTTTGTTCAGCAGCCTTATCCACGGTCTGAGATAACTTCTGGTATTTTAAAGAAAGTCGCTCTCTTTGTGTTTACATTTCGCAACAAAAAAGCCTTTTGTCTGAAAATTATTAATGATGAGTCTTCGTTATAATGCCGGCGTGTATCAGAAAACTGTACGATAAAACAGAGAAAAGGGTTCATAAATCAAAGCGAGATATTTCAGCTTTAAGTCGGCTGTTTTGAGGCATAAAGGTTGCTACTGGAATAGAATGCGGGAAACACCTTTTACATTTTTGCGGTTGCAATACATTAACAGTTTAATCGGTGACAATTTCACCAAAAACATTAAACAAATTGTTTCTAAGTGTGGATTTATTTATTGAAGTAAAATATTTAGCGAACCACACACTGGCAGAAGCATGCAGCTCATAATATTCGTGATAAATTTGATTTATTTTCCTGACTGCGTGTAATTATTATTATATTCTTTTCCTTCCTGGGTTTCAGTCAAAGTGTGAAAAAAAAATTGTAAATCGTTTATTTCATACCGTTTCGGCAAGACAACAGCGCCATTATCAGATTTAAAATTCATACAAACTCATAATTGGTAAACATTACATTCTTTTAGGTCTTTGCTGCCTTTAAGCAAATACCTAAAAGAATGTAATGTTTACCAATTATGAGTTTGTATGAATTTTAAATCTGATGATGGCGCTGTTGTCTCGCCGAAACGTTATGAAATCAACGATATACAAATTTTTATTGACTGAAACCCAGGAAGGAAAAGAATATAATAATTCTTAATAATGTGACAAGCTACTGAAATTGGGGCTAAAATCTGTAAATTTCTGTCGAAAACATCTACACGATTGACTAAGTGTCCCTGTCTCCATTTGAAGCGTTTTGTCGGTTAAAATAGTGAAAAGCTGCTGACTCGTAATGTAAGCAAATTTAAACATTAAATTACAATGCGCCGTATATTTGCTTAGACATTTATTTCGTTATCTCCCGACTTTTGCTGGTAGTAATTCCCCAAATTAGGGAGTACGCTTCTTGGATGGTAATTCCAAAGATTGCCGTCAGGCCTAAAAATATTGGGCCGTATTTAATAACAATACTCGCCAAGGAAACAAGGGTTCAACGTGGGTCTTTTTATCTAAATTAGAGACTTGGGCTCGTCGAATAACCAGGCAGCGACGAAATGGAGAGAATGGCTTATGGGGCCTTATCAGCGATCCCCTGTGTTTTGCAACAACGATATTATATCCAGACAAATGGCCAGTTTTGATTTAACCAATTACACTTTCCCCATATTATTTATTGATGGCACTAAAGCCAGAATGGTTAATAAATAACAAGCAGCTGGTATGGCGTTAGTGGACATCACGAAGSCCACAAGGATAGAAAATAAKACAGTCTGAASTTAATAAAAWGTTTTTTGAAAGCTCACGCAAAAGTAGCATCTAAGCAAACCGACAGCTAATTTTCTTAAGTTGATTTTTGTCAAAGATTCAATATATCAAATCGCCCYATACAATRTGTAATGTTCGTCCCCAAGAAGCGCTGAATACGCGTATTAGTCAGCTTCTTAGTGTGAAAAGATCTATTGGTCCGAAAAATGCAAATTTTTATTTCATTTTAGCGAACCATTCAACACATTTACACAATTACTTTTGGTCAACTTTGATCCCTTTTATCTTTTATAATTTCGACTTTCCATTGAAGAACGTACTTCAAATGTACATAAAAAAACTCTTTTTTGAATTTCCATGTTCCACAGTTCGTTTAACTCTTGAATCATTCCTGTATTACTCGCTTTCCATTACTCCAGATTAAATAAAATCGCTCTCAAACACAATCGCATAACCCGAAAAATCGTTATTTTTAGTTCAATTTCTCCATGTTTAAAGGCAACGTAACGTTTTTATTTTCACTCTCAGCACACCAGTCAATACGCAAAGAAACGTAGATTACTGGAATTGGGTTAGCAACTTTGCAAAGGAAACAGAAACATTCGAAAACAGGGAAAAGGAAACGAACGCCTCAAACATAACCGTTTGTACGGCACTGAAAAGCCCGACCCGCTGCCTTCAAAAACTGTATGTTAAAAGGTAGAAGAAATGTATCTTTTATTATTTGCGAAACATAAATGGAAGCCTGCGAGAATACGGGGCGAATGGATTTTCGTGCATGAATATTTCAGTGACATGTTTCCCTTGATATACATGAAACTATAAGTCAAAATTTAGGCGTGTATGTTTGTTGGCGAATTGAATTACATGGCGTTCCGAGAAATGTATTATGTAGATATTACCGCTGTGTTTCTTCTTAGTGGATTTTGTTCCGGCAAAAATTCAAATCAAACTCTGCAAGCCAGGAAAATTATACAAAAATCCCTTTTTGGAACAAAAAACTTTCAAATATCGCAGTTAATGGATTCAACGTCCAAAACATTTCTTTAGCTAGCATTGGATAATCAGTGAAGGAACTGGGAGAAACCGAAAAAAACCGCATTGGACTTTTTTTGGAAACAACCTGATCCATTTCCTACTGGCGGAGTCTGAAGATAAACGAACTGCTCATCTTAAAGTAAACGCATCAGCCTTTCGCTGAACATCAGTTCCGGAAGCGGAAAAAGTCGCACTTAAACAAAAGGGGGCGATCCGGAAATAAATGTGTTTAGTGCTACGTCTGGACGCGAATCGATTCGTAGTCATCTGGAAAAATTGGAAAAAGACGCCTGACTGACATGGGAAATAGAAGCTGGCTCTTTTAAATAATCGCGTCAAGACGCCGCGTGCATAATAGACTGGAAATTTTACATTTCAAATGGTATTTTTAATTTAAAAGTCGATGGACTTTATGAAGTTGATTACAAAGAGGAATGCTGCTTTAATTAAAGTTTAATACAATGGAGTTCGATCAAATAAACCCTGGCCGTTTGAGCTGTTGCATTTTATGAGCTGAATAATTAATAGTTGCCGACCGTTGAGAGTCTAAAGTTTTATTCAACTTCTGCTAGAACCTGCACCGTATAATGGCAGCACTTCCATTCTTTTCCAGGCTTTTTCAATATCCAAATTGCTCATCTATTTTTCCAGCGAGAGCAAATGCCGTTAAAATTCATTTCAAGCAACTTGATTACATGAGATCGATTTTAGGTAGTATAATTAGCAAAGCAGGAGGATTATTTTATTTCCCGTCCACTCCATTGCTTTCATCATACATTTTGTTCCCCTGCCCAACAGAAATCCTGCAGAAATTCACCGGAGAAATAAAATGGATAGTTGGGTTGTAATCGCTGCAGGAATTTCCCGATTGTAGTTTTATTTAAATTAGTCCATAGAAGGGATGAGACCGACAAAGGCGGCAGCGCTTTTATTTAAAACAGCTTTTGAGTGCACACACAATCGATAGACTAAGGAACGATTCTACTGGCTCTATTCCAAAAATCCATGCTTTCCATTAAGGGAAGCCACTCCAATTAGATTCGGGTGTAAAAAGTCGAAAACCTCGACTTGAGAGTGAGAACAAGTTCGCTAGTGTTTGAATAAGTTAGAAAGGAAATCAGTTGAGTGGAAATGTGCCCGTTCCAAACTGAGAAGGCATACAGTATTTGCACTTTTGCACGAAACACTTCTAAATGAGTTTTGAGTCTCCAGTTTTAGTGCATGATTAACCGAAAAGTTCAACTTATAAACGAAGCAAATATTTTAAAACAAAACGACTTCTTTATTCCACCTGCTCCAGATTTGACGGTGTAGAATTCTTGCGAATAACTCAACGCAAACTGGATCATGCACTTATGTATTATTTAAATTGATTGAGGAAACAAAGAGGAATATTGACGGTTTGGCTACTGAATGCACAAAATCAATAGGTGAATGAATCGTACTGGCTCGTTTCCAGTAACCTAGTTTTAAAAACAGAAGAAGCCCCATCAATTATTTAGATTGTGTATAAGGAAAATCGGTATTGGATATCCATGGGAGAACAGCCAGGTTTAACACGATTTGCGTTTTAGCCCAACTTTATCGGACCTTAATTCATTATCTGGACTGAGGTTCTAAGGCTGTTCGGGACAGCGACTTTGCAGGGTTTTTCCAATTTGGTTCGGGAAAATTGATGGTGAAAATTTGATTTACGTCGGCTGTCCGAATAAATCGATTGTAGTTGGTTAGTTCCACCGATAACACTGCGACTAATTCAGCGAATCTGGGAAAACAATGTATGATAAATTGAACATAATAACCAGAAACCTCGTCGACGCCAGAAATCATACAAAAGTTGGAAATTAATGACTACAGCTATCTCCAAATGCGAGCTTTATATACATGCCAACTCCAGAAGAATTGCTATATTAAATTTTACAAATGATTGGCTGCTGAAAACATCAGCAAGCAATAAAAGTTTTCGTGTGCACAAAATCAAAAACAATACAGAGCGCGTTTCTTTTTTAGACTTATTAAACGGTTAACATTGTTCTTGATGAAGATTGGCCATACATCGGCTTAAACAATCACAAAAATGTCATTTGTTGCTCAAAAAACGTGCCACAGTCACACAAGAAAAATCAACAAAGCGCTCAGCAAACATAGTTTGCGTGGTTACCCTTAAAACCAATACTCACCTTCTTCAGCCGGAAGAAGCACCCTGATTTGAAGGAGCAGAAGGTTGAAAATTAGCTTCTACTGAGAAAACAGGACTGTTTTCCGATACCGACGAACTATAAACTGGTGTGGAAATTCGTGCGGAAAATCCGTGAAAAACGAACCGGCAGTCAGACGCGCTATGTTTCGACGATTCAAAGCAACGTGACTGTATTTTCCACCCCTCGACGTCATAAAGGGGTGATTTCCACAGTTGCCACGTTGACGCTAGTCGGAAAAGGTCCAGGATTTTCCGAAGGCTAATACCGCAGAACTTGACCAACAATTGAACAACAAACGTACAAAAGTACGCAAATTATGTGCCCATTGCACAAACACAGGCAAGCCTTAACAGCATCTGCGACATAAAATGCGTCGATAAAATGTTCAAACACAAAAAATATCTTGCAAATCCCCGAATAGAAAACTGAGATGTTTTTTTTTTTTCAGAATGTCGCTGGTAGGCACCCCATCAGACATTCATAGCTGGATGATGTTGGTGGTAAGTAGGTACGTAAAAACTGTAAAGAGTTTGATATTTAACTGCACATGGACTTATCTCCTCATGTAGTTGTTTAAACAATTCTTCAGCCAAGTTTTTATTAATTGCAACTGAACAAAGTGTTGTTTATTTAATGCTAAATGGGTTGCTGATTTGGCTCAGCTAATATTGACAACGCTGCTTGAGAAAAGAAAGAAAATTATATACATGTGAAATCAATATAAGCGCTAGCGCTCTCTGACGGAATGTCTGGGGATGATTCCTTGGATTCACTTAAATCAATACTATTTGCAGACGACATCCTAATGTCCACACAATTTTTATTATCAAGTGAGTTTTAGCGGATCCAGATGACGACACTGACTCTCTTTTAATCTAAAAAGGCAATTTTCTGAATGTTTTGAAGCCTGGACAAGTATAAATATTGGGTGTAGGAATCTGAAATGCTAAAGCTCTAATAAAACACCAAGAACTCTTCTATTTTACCTTCAGTGCACAAAATTCGAATTTATTAGACGTTTTTAAGGGTGGCAAATATCCTAACAGGAGCTCCCGTTCCATCCTGAATTTTCATGGGAGCAATTACGAGGTCAAATCCTTTGTCTGTAACAAAAAAATGAGTCATGATTTGGTGCAACAGGCAACAAAAATTCCTGGAAAAACTACCTGGAAGCGAATCCAGAATTTTCACGTTTTCCAAATTGTACAAGTTATTAGCTGCCAGGTGTCGATGTGCAAAGTAGGTGGTGGTGTTTCCTGGGTCAATGCTTGGAGTATCCAAGCCCACTCCATAAAATTTCTGGCTGTTCACTATCCATCGAGCTGCTTCATCTGAGAATCCTTGCACCGACACGTTATGTTGACGAATATTCAAACATTCAGTTAACTACTACCGGGAAAATTTAGCGTTTCGCCCTCCAAGTCCAAATACTTGGTTCGATTCTGCCATTATTTGGATCGCCCGAACTGGACCAGCAGCACAGAACCGATTTCAAAGTTCCCATTCTTCGCCTCCCAATCCTCCAAGTGTTTCACGGTCAATCTAGCATTTCTTCCCTGCTCTTCAGCTTCCGCCGTCAGGTTTATTAAGGCTCCTGCAAGAGGAATAATCAGCTTTGCAACAACGCTCTTCAGTTGATGGCAACCTTTAGCGAAGAGCTTCTGTGCAGGAATTTCCGATACCTTGATTCCCTCCTGGTAGAAATGATAAGGAGCATCAAAGTGAGTGCCACCGTGTTCGGCTGCACAAAATTCTTTCACTGAATACCTGGAAAATCGCCAGTTAGCCATAGATATTGCTAGAGGTGAATATAAAGCGCCACGGTCCTACCAATAACCTCGGTCTGAAGAACTTTCAATTTCCTTCTCAAAAGCGAACTTTCGCATTCCTGATATGTAAACGGTGTTGCTGCCAAAATCCCAGCTTAAATCTACCGATTTTTCCAGAGAAGTCACTTTGCTGCTAAGAGCCAGCAGGAGGCACAGTGTTGTTAGAAACATTCTTTTATTAATACGAATCTAGTTAATATGACAACAGTTATCAATTGTTGGGAGGTTTTCTTTCCACAAACAGGCTGATAACAGGAAGACCACAGGATTGGATTGAGCTTGGTTTTCCCCAGAAACTTTTCAAAATTAGAGAGTACAACAAAAAATGTTGGAATGTTTGTGCCACGGATGGTTGATTTGTAAAATTAACCCTCACAGTAAAACTCGAGTTGTTACTTACGTGTAAACGTCTGCAGATACTGTTTCTTCTCTCGTAAAGTTAAAGGGCAACTGACCAGGCCAGTACACAGTATCTCTGCCGAAGCTCCATGTTAAATCGTGGATGAGAACATCAGCAAAACTTGGTTTGAAAAAGCTCACAATGGATATCAATAAAAAGCGCTTCATTGCACGAGTTTAAATTCCCAATAAGCTTAAAACAGTCAGTGTTCCAATTATGATAATGACCCGTAAATATTATTTCCAAATGTGGAAGCGTTATCTGTTCTTTCAGATATTGAGCAGATGGCGTTTAGATCCGTAACAGGATTTTTTAAATTTGGAAATTTTATAGAAATGCCACAGACATTTTCGCTGATTACTTGCCGAATAAATGTCTATTTTTAGTGGACAAGTAACTTGAAATATCGCATCCTATAACTGAATCACTCTAAGTGTAACTTTTAGTAAAACTTCTCCGTTCTAGGAAAAATAGCCGGCAATATTCCGTGTCTGGGCTGACGCAGACTGAATACGCCAATTTTCCACTAAAATTAACCACTTAAAATGCTGAATTCCTCAATTTATCAGCAATGGATTGAAAAATCGCTAGTTTATAGACCTGCATATTTCACTTAAGACCATCCATATCCGTCCTATATGTTTCGAACAATATATCCGACGGATGTGTGCATTTTTAGAGTAATTGGACTCTTTGGGGCAGTTTCCAGCAAATCCAGTGAAATTTGGACGTAGATGGTTAGTTTCCTTATCCGTTTCCCGAGCTCGCAATAATTAACTGTAATTTTGAAAACAATCCATTAAATAAACGGACGGAACTTCTCATATCTTGGACTCTTTTGATGAGATTAATTATTCCGGAACAGCTGTATGTAGTACCTTTGCAGAATTATAATGGTAATTGGATTAAAAGGGGAAACTTTGCAAAGCCGTCTAAATATTATGTTTATTACGAAATGAACAAACTTGAAGTTCAGTTGACAATGACTCGGATAAGATGCTGAAAGTTTCTTCGCTTAGACAAAGATCCCTTTAATGCTTCTTTTGAGCGTCGCGGATATTTCAAGTGAGTTTGTTTCCAGAAAGTTATGTTATATGCTATAAACTAAACACTTGGAAATCAATAATCTTAAAACAGACTGAGCGAGATTATTTCTAAACGTTTACTATGTAGGCCTACAGAAAAGATACAGTGTTCTTGCTAGACAGACCAAACTTCAAGTCTCTGCTTAATCAGACTTTGAACTTTGACGAATTTTTCTTAGCCGACCTTAACTTTCAATGACCCCTAAAAAATCAAGATTTTTGCAGGATTGGAACTAATTTTCGCTGAGAAAAACGGTCAAGTATTCTTAGCAGACGTGCAAAATTTCAAGTCGCTGCATTATTAGGTGTTGAAGAAACAATTTTTTTTGAAGACCTGCAGTTTTTAAAAAACCAACCCCACAGCGAATTTGATTGACACTTTGCCATTTGATCGAAGAGTCCATAGTAAGAAGAAATTTTAAGTCGCTACTTAAGCAGCATTTGAAACAACAAAAAAATATTTGGCAGCTTCCAGCTTTCATATGTCTTCCCAGCGCTTGGGTTTAACTTTTAACCACCCTTGAACCATCGGGACGTTGTCCCATCGGAGTTAGTTTTTGTAAGGAAAAAAACCAAGTATTCTAGTTAAGACTATGGCTTTAAGCCTAAGACGATCAAACTGTTAAAACTTTGATTCATGCGGTTTTGAGGCCACAGTTTATTTTTGGCATCGTTCCCTTTTCAAAGTCGGTTTCGAGCCCAACGACCCTTCAAAAATCTATATTCCATCCGATTCGATTAAATTTATGTAAGCGACGAGAACCAAATGTGCGTAGAAGATGGTGAAAATTTCAAGTCGCTGCGTCTTCAGATGTTGAAGTTACGAAATTTACGAGACCTCGTAAAAATCAGCTCTCTATTCAACTCATCGACATTTTTGTGGCAAAAGAGAATCAAACCCATTTAGTATTATTTAGTATTTTATCGCATCAATTTTTGAAGCAACTAATTTGCCTTTGACGACTTTCAGTTCTCATGTTTGCCGCTCTATCGGACAAAATGAAAGCTTGAACCGTTTGATCCAGTTCAATTTAAGTAGTTGGACTTTCACGAGGACTTAAAACATCGGTCGTACTTTGGCATAATAGATTCGGCCATAAATTACTGGTTTCCTCAGTCCGAAGTTCGTCCAGTTGCCGAATTTCCAACCGCATCTTCGGCACAGAGTGGTGAGGGTTTGGAAATAGCCAAGTTGAAAGCGAAGCTATGGCTAAGTTCCACGACTTGTGGTTGGGCTCATAACGAGGATATTTGCGATTGATTTATATTCGCTTTCCATATTTCTATGACTGGGAGTAATCGGTTTGGGCTTTGACACGTTTGATGGAGATTAAAATGCCTGTTTTTTCAAGTTTTTAAGTCAGTAAATTTTGCGTTCAATTTAAAAAGTCACGGTTAATTCAAATCCCAGAGTACTTTTTAGCACTCTTCCCAGCCTATGTTGCGTAAAATAGAAAATCCCTATATGAATGATCCGGATTTCGCCATATCTCAGCTTATATTCAGCGATGTATAATAATGAAAAATGCAGAAACTCATTTCTTTTTCATTTCCTCTGCTGGGAGGATCAAACCCGAAGAAAAAGGTTTGGAGGATTCAAATATAAATAATATCAGCTTTATGTATTCTTGACAGCAATTCATTATGAAATATGTATAAGTCTTGGAATTGAGTTGGTTTAATTTCTTGCCCATCTGAAGAGCGAATGGGCGAATCAATTACAAATATGCGCATTTCAACAAAGAAAGATTGACTCGCTAATAAAAAAGAATTTATAAATAATGAATGCTGAACTAATATGCAATTAATTAGAGCACCATTATGCGAATTAATGAAACATCCGCAGAAAAACGAGCAAATTTCTTGCAAACAACCGTTATTCATATAAGCCCAGTGGTCGCAAAGATTTATTATATAATCCATGCCCGTAACCATAAATCAATATTATAATAAGGTTATGCCGGCAGGTTATAAATTTTCCAATTAAAGGAATCGTTGTTGTTTTTCAGCTTCCAGGTAATGATAACATAATATAAATTTGTGCCTTCATAAATCTACCCTCACAGCTAGACCGGTTAATATCCGTATACTTTCCGAAACGCAAGGGGCTTTACCGGATACAATTTATTGAGATTATCGATCACTGGTGGTGTTGATTAAGAATCTATTAATAATGATGATTATTATGCAAATGCACACGCGAAAAATAAACTCCTGCTTCAATATGAGAACAGAAAATCATTTTTTTTTTATTTTACTTACTAAATCATGTTCATGGCATAATTTTCAAAATTATTTCGGGAATGTGATATAACATCCTGAAAATACCTGAGATTTGTTATCAGGGGTGAAATTAATGCCTGTATCTGGCCAAGCAGCTGCTACTTGAAAGGTCGGATGATTTTAATCCCGATTACAAATGGCTTTGCCGTAGTCATTAACTTTGCTAAAACCGCTGTGTCGATTCCTGTCACGTGCCTTTTTGATGTGCAGTCATTAGGCGGCAAAAATAAAAGAGTCTCCAAAGAGAAAACTCAGCGGAAAAACAATAAATTGATCAATTCTGGACCCCTAATGGTAAATCTATTAATCGGCGCTGCCGCCGTTTCATTGCGATAGTCACTAAACGGGTTTTGGGAAAACATCGGATAAACTCAGCAAATACTCAGAGCTGCTTCAAAAAACCTTGAAGTGTCTTACCGTGTAGCTGAGTAACAAGGTACAATAGTTTATTAATGCTTATTACACTGACATTTTCGACAAATTTTAAGCGTTTTTTGAGCGTTCATGATCTTTAGCCGACGATTCTTCCTTATTATTCACCCAAACACTTTATGAATTCATATTTGCGACCTTCTTACGTCGAAAGGAATCGATGGAGCTCAAAAACCACGCATGTGAAATTTTGATTTTTGGCCGAAATTTTTCCAAGGGTTGAGGTCGATTTTTTGAAAAAATAAAAATGTTCTAAAAATGTTTTAAAACTTTGAAAAGCATCGATGCCGTAATTCCGATCTAGTTCTTTGCAAATACGCCAGTTTTTAGTGGGGGTTCATATTTTTTACTGTTTTTCCTGTACTCCCAAAACACCACCAGACAACACCCTTAGAGGAATGACGCCAATTTTGAATCACCCTGTACATTTTTTTATAAAACTCTTCAAAATTTAATTAAAGCCTGAGATGAGTTGTGAGCCCTAATACTACTCTCGGTGTTGTGGATTTAAACCCGCCAACACACCCCATTATATTCAACTTTATTAATAAATTTTAATTTACACTGGATGACATAGAGCGGCCGTTATATTTCACGAAAGTTAATGTTCGTGTCTCCTTCCCACTTTGAGCTATTCCGCGACATAACTAACATTTTAAAACTGCCGGAAATATATATTCTTTGTTCCCGGAGAGCAGGACTCTTGCGGCAACACGCAGCGCAAAGTTTAGACATTTTTTCCGAGAAATAAATTCAATTTTTAGTACGAAAAGTGAAAATTATTCTTTATAAGCCTGGGGAAAGCTATTTGTTTAAATGGAGATAAGTGAGTAAAATAATGGTGACAATATCACAACTTTTAAGCAAACCGGCTTCACAAGACGATATATGAAACAAGGCAGACTGGTGAATGTCCGTGTGGGAACGAGAAACAACGACAAACACCATTGCCTATATTTGTTCTTTTTTCTACCCCAAAAATTTATAATTCAGCCTTGTCTCAATTAAAGTGTTAGTAACCCTTTGATGAAAAATTTGCAAATATTTCCTGATTTGATGACCGATTTTTCCTGATTTTTACGTGGCTCTTTCGCCCTGATTGTT